CCCCCACCTCCCCCGGGAAGATTGGCCGCTGCGGCGGGCGCAGAGGAGGGCAGGAGCGGGCTCTCGCGGGCGGTGCTGAGAGCCCCGCGCTGCCAGTGGCGCGCTCTCCGCGGAGTTTTCCCTCTCTGAGGACGGGCTGCCTGCGCGCCCCTTCGCGCCCCGGGGTGACGGGAAGAGGAGACCATGGTGTCCGTCGGGAGCGGCGCGTCCCTGTGGCTGGGAGTGCTTCTGGGCGTCTGGAGCTCCGGCGCTTGGCTGCCTGTCGGGGGGTGCCCCAGCAAATGTACCTGCTCTGCCTCCAACGTGGATTGTCACGGGCTGGGACTGAAAACGGTGCCGCGGGGCATCCCCAGGAATGCGGAGCGGCTGTAAGTAGCGCGCGCAGGCTTCCCGGGGGCTTGCGGGAGCGCTCTGGGTGAGGGGCCTCCCGGGGACACCTGGGCGCAGACTCCCGGAGCTGCTCTCCCGGAGCACGGACGCAGCAGGGAGGGGAGAGGAAGGGTTCGGGACTGGCAGGCGCTCTGGCCGGTGCGCTGCCCTCAACCCGGTGTGTCAGCATCTTGTCTCCTGCAGCTGCCCCAGCTGAACATCGCGCGGGCTTAGGTGTTGCAGGACTTGGCCAAGGGCTTCAGAACTCGGCTGGGGCACTGGCAGGGGTTAGCACTGGAAACAGGCCAGGAGTTGATCTGGGTGCTTTCACCTGGAGAGCCTAGTATTGCTTCCTTCTTGCTTTGTTTCCCAGCAGGATGACTGCATTCCCATGGAAACCTCACCCGCTGGCAGAAATAAAGCAATAGGTTGCCTTAAAACAATCTCTGGCTTCTGTCTTCCACTGACAGAGCAAGGCAATACTGCAGGGAAGCCTGTCACTTAGTCCTTAACTTCCCTTCTGCTATATCCCAGATATTGCTGGATGGCGGGATATTGCAGACAGCAGGAGCTGTAATAGGGGAGTGCAGCAGGAGTGAGGGGGCCTGTGCTTGCTGTGTGACCATACACCATCAATGCATGCTTCATTTGCCACCTGGAGGGTAAAGTTTCTGTGTGGATGAGAAAGCTGAGGCAGTCTTAAATGAACTTTGAATGGAATGCTGGTTACCCCAGTGCATATGGCAAATAAACATTCAAAAATAAGTAAAACGGAAAAGTGTCAGATTGAAGATTTGACCAAAGGTCATTGCAGCTCCACATTGAGAGGCCAATGATAAGCAGTTTTAACATTTGAAAATTCAGCTGTCCCATACAAAATATACTTTGAGGGTTTGAAACTAGTCTGCAGATAACACAGTCCAGTAGGGACTGACTGCTAAGGGAGTCAGTTTATGTAGAGAAAGCTCAGAACCTTAAACTAAGCAAAAAAGTTTTCATGGGCACAAACTCAAAGGCTAAGTTTCAACCCAGGATGAATTGTTATGAAGGTCATTAATGCTTCCAAAAAGGCAACTCATAATGGAAATATTAGCAGCCCTTTGATGATAGCAGTTTGGGTGTCTTACAAACCACACAACTTCCCATCTTCCATACTTGGCAATCCAGCAGTACGTTGTAATTTCACACAAAGACCATTTTAACACCAACTGAGCAGATGAATTTGGAAAGGATTAACATCCATTGTTGCATACAAACTCTGGTTTGGAACTTGACACACTGTTTAACAGTAGCCTGGGAATTTAGAGAATACAGGCCAACCTGGTAGCAGAACAGAGTCAACAACAGTAACGCTAGGTCTATATACTACCCTAAATTCATATGCCATGGGCAAATCATAAACGTGGTAGTGAGGTGTTCCTATTCTGTATGCAAGACTAAAGAGATAGAAGCAGAAAGGAGTTAAATTTGGGCTAGAAATAAGGTGTAAATATTCACAATAAGGTATTTGACCTTCGTAAGAACTTACCAGGGGCATGGTGAATTCACAATCACTTACGACATCCATCTTTGACTTAGACTTTTCTAAACTATATGTTCTAGCTCAGTCACAAGATATGGGCTTAGTGCAGGTATTACTGGGTAAAAATTAATGGCTTGTGCTACGCCAGAGGTTGGGCTAAATTATAATGGTCCCTCCTGGCCATAAATTCTATGACTCTATCTGCATGAACAAGTGTGTAATATAGTAGAATTATAGAAGAAGGAACTGTGTACACTAAGTAGTTGTAATATTCATGATAAATCATGAAAATCTAAAGTTTTAGTCTTTTACAACACATTAGTCTTTCAGCTGATTTCCTTAAAATAGGTTGATAAAACTTTGAAGAATCTAACTTACTTTGGAAATAAAACTATTGAAAACCATATTGTGGAAAATGAATCTCATTGCTGTAAAACTGTACTGAGGATGATCTTTGTTACAACGCATAAATGGAGAGCTTCTTAAGTTATTAATGTGTAGAACCTAAAATAGCAGGCTATTAACTTGCCAGTATTCACTCAGGCGTAGAATTAACAACTTTGAAGAATCTAACTTACTTTGGAAATAAAACTATTGAAAACCATATTGTGGAAAATGAATCTCATTGCTGTAAAACTGTACTGAGGATGATCTTTGTTACAACGCATAAATGGAGAGCTTCTTAAGTTATTAATGTGTAGAACCTAAAATAGCAGGCTATTAACTTGCCAGTATTCACTCAGGCGTAGAATTAACCGATAGCTTGTGCATGTAGCGGGTCAGGCAGAACAAGAATAAGTTTTGGGGAATGTCTAGATATATATTAGAGTTCATATTTTTGCTAATGCATCTATTCTGATTATTACTTATGAATTCATCAGCTCTGTAACTCATTCTCTCATTTTTCTGCCTATTAAATGCCTGTTTTCTGTTAACTTAGTCATAAATATTCTATGTATTCAATAATTGCTCAGGGCTTGAAATGTGCTGTTAGAATCTCAATACAGTAGACTTCCGATAATCCAAAACCTTTGGGACCTGGGTAGTGCCGGATTATTGGATGTGCTGGACTATCAGGAGGTCCTATAAACTGGTTATATATATACTGTATACAGTATATACTGTATATAAAGTGTTTTTAACCCTTTTTATTGTATGTGCTGTATACAGTATACTGTAATGTTTCAGTTTTTTTAACCCTTTTTTACCCTTTTTGCTCGGTTCAGCTGCTGCCGCTGCTGCCTTGTGACTTGGTTTTTGCCGAAGGTCACTCACTAGGCTCTTGCCATTTTGATACCAGACTATCGGAAGTGCCATACAATTGGAGGCTGGATTATCGGAGTTTTACACTATATTGTGGAGCCACCATAGACAGTGACTCTCAATCTTAACTTTTCCTGTGAAACTCCAGTGCCCACGAAAGGGTCTGTTTGCCTGAGAAATGACAAGTGAAACTTGAATAGAGTGACTGGATACAGGCACTACATCACTTGGTTCTGAGTGCTCCCTTGCGTCTGTTAATTCTGTGCATGACATACACTGCCTTGATTTGTAGACATTCTACTATTTTGCTTAATGTACTGACTAATAATAAAACAAGGTTAACTAGATGTGTAATGATAATGCTATCATCCAGGTCAGAAAATAAATAGCTGCAGTTTGTAAGATACCTTGGAAAATGTTCTTGTGAGTTTTTTTTATGGCTACTTGCATGCCATTGTACTTTACTTTGTAGAAAGAGAGGTTTTTCTCCTTTCTGCACCCAGGTAAGATATAGGCTGAAGATGTCAGTTGTGCCTTGTTTTCATTTGAAATTGACAATAGATGTATCGAGATCACTTAAAATACCAAGCTTTTAAAACTCTGGTTGTGCATACCTTCCAGAATGTTTGGTCTATTGCAACCAGGCTAAATATTATCTTAATTTTTGTTTTTAAATGAAACCAAATGAGAATAAATTTAAAATGTAATGTTACGGAGATCTGGAGAAAAGCTTTACACCGAAGAAATTGGTTCTTTACTTTTGTGCTAAAAAGTAATGAGCACAATTCTACTTCTATCTAGAGAAATGCAAAGTCACTAGAGTTTTTTAGTATTGTAAAATCGCTGCTTTGACAGTTTTTTAATAATGAATGTGAAACTTATGCTTTTTTTTCAATGTCTGGAAATTGCTTCTCTTGGAAAGAAAAGTGGTGGTGGTAACTCTTTCCAAGTGCCGCAATCTGCAGAGCAACCAGTGGTCACCAAGATGATATAATCCTGAGGAAAATTGGACTAAACTTTTTACAATTTAATGTTCCATTGTCAATTGTAAAAAATGGCAGTATCAAATGCAGAGTATAAGCATGCTTGCATTTTACATAGTTAGCACATTTTATGTTAGCCTTCTTCCCTTAAAAGTCTAGTGTAAATTTAATTTATGCTAGCAGTGTTACATGCAAAATTAAACAAACACAACAGAGATTTCAGTGTAATGGATCCATACAGCAAAGATATGGCTAAATGCAGAGGGAATGAATGACATTTGAAACAAAAATATTTGCCATGAAGCACAAAGTAAATAGATGTTGAGTTTGCCTTTTGTACTATAAAAGGAACCTAAAAATGTAATTCTCCTTTTACCCAAAACCTCAGACAAGAATATTCAACAAAATGAATATTTTGAATATTTAGAAATGGGCTCTAAAATATGGATTTTGGACTTTTTAAAAAACTGATGCTTCTTAAAGAAATTTTTTACATGAACGTGTATACCAGTAGCATAGGCAAAGCCTGGCTTAACTTCTTACTTTATTTTTTCACATCACTACATGCTGGTAAACTTATTTAAACAAACATTTAGTCTTTGCAGATGGCATAACAAAATCTTGAAAATGGAATGTAATCACTTTACAAGCACCCTAAATAATGGAGAAAATTACGGGTTTAAAAAAATATAACAGCCTTTAGCAACTAGCTAAGCACTATGGTCAACTTCTGTAGAGAGCAGTCACTGTACCGAAAACAGTAAATAGTGATATATATGGCTCCAATGAAGGATTATTATAGCTCCAGTGAACTAAGCAAACATTAGTTATTTAGAAATTACATAGCACATGTCAGGATGTACTTCGCAGTCAGCTTTTTGGATGTATCTTACTTTACCAAAATTTTCTATAGGACTATATTTGGTTAACTAACTGAGCTGGTATGCTGTAATCAGTTTCTACCGTCATTTCCATACACAATTTCATATTCTCTTTTTTTTTCAGTGGAACATTGACTGGCTGTCCCATGTCATAAAGAGGGAGCTAGTTCTATAGTTAAAACCTTCAGTTGTACAGATAAAATCATTCCCACAGTCAATATGTTTTGTGACATGCTAGTACTCATATGTAATTATTTCCTTATTGGAAAATGTCTTTAGCTTCTTTGCTGGTTCGTTAATTTACCTTTTATACAAGGTTCACAAAATCATCATATGACAATAACCTAAAC